AAGACCGGAAACCCAGGACACAAACGCCACCACTGAGACCCGAAGACTGAGCGGCGATGCTGGCTGTGTAGACAGCACCACCCCCTTGACCCCGTCGCCTGGGTCCCAAGTCCGTTCGGTTGCTGCCCTGACCCGAGGAACAGACCTGCGGACTGAAGGGTCCCTTAATCACAGTGAGTGGGTCCGCACCACCCACGCACCCAACCCCTAGGATGTCAGGTCTCTGCAGCGAGGCCTGGATCTCAGGAGATTAAAAACCTCCCAGATGAGTCTGGTGTTGACAGGGGGCTGAGAAGCCTGGTCTCCACCACCTGCCAGTGGCTAATAGTCTGAGGCAGCAGGTGACCTACACCCCCACTCCGGGGAGTTTCATTCCCAATTAGTTAATCATTCTTTTCAAAAACTTTACTGTTTCACAAGGTTCTGACACCTTGGGGCCTACCCCTCCCGGAGCCGGCTAATTCCTGGCACAGCTGCCAGGCAGCACAGCTTTCATGGAAACACCCGAAGCCACAGCCTCCCCACCCCTTTAACTCTCACACCCAGCCAGCCACTCCCCGTCCTCTGTCAACCGAGCCCCAGCTTCCACACAACCAGGGCCGCTCGAAGCACTGCAGCCGGCCACCCTGAGCGGTCACCTGCTCTCGCTTTCGGTGCCCAGAGAAACCCCAGTAAGTGCTCTGGGCCACGCTTTCCCACGGTCACGGTTTTCCTATGATTCCTCGCGTGGCTCCAGAAGACGTGCAGTGTCCCCTTCTCTTGAGAGCTAACAAATCCTTCCTTCACGGCACTGACTTCTCCGTCCCATCACTAAGTCACCCCGGCAGGTGCAGAAGAGCACGCTGGAGGTGCTGTATTAAATGAGTGGAGCGTGACCAGTGCTCAGGGGACCTGTGCTGTGACAGTTAACTGCTTCTCCTAAAGGTGACCCACTTTTAATTTTCTCAGATTTCTGCAAAAAAGGAATCCTGGCCCTGGCCGACGCAGCTCAGTTGGCTGAGCATCGCCCCGTACACGGAGAGGTCGCAGGTTCCGTTCCCAGCCAGGCACCTGCCAGGTTGTGGGTTTGATCCCTGTGGACACACATACACAAGGCAACTGAGCGATGTTTCTCTCTCTCTCTCAAATCAGTAAAAGCATGCCCTCAGTGGAGGATTAAAAGAAGAAAGAACAGAACCCCGCACGGCTCTGGCAAGTGGGAACCCCAGGGTCACGTCACTTCCCTGGATGCAGGTCACCGTGAAATGCTAGGAAGTCCCGGTGAGCTCCTGCCCCACAAGGCTGCAGGCCTGAGGCTGCTCTGCTAAGAAGGCAAAAGCAGCACCGGTTTGGGGAGAAGGTGTATAAGCTTCAGCAGGGAACCCAGACTTTCCGGCGGGAGCAATCGGAGGAGGAAGGGGAAGAAACGCAGGCCCGGCGCCCAGGCCCTCTCAGCTCTCGGGGATCAGGTGCCTCTGCGCCCTGGGGACAGGGTCTGCCCGCCGGGCGTGGCGCAGGGAGGACTGTCCCGCATGCCTCAGTGCACTCGGGGCCACCCTCTGGGCGCCTGTGGCATCCACGCCCCAAACCACCTCCGGACACTGCTGAGTGTCCGGGAAAAAGACCATCCCAGGGCGGGAAGCACTGGTTCAGGTTGTAAAGTGAATGGGCTGGGGAACCCTGCCCGGCTAGGTCAGGACACAGCACCGAGGTGGCGGGGCCTGGCGAGAAGGGGCAGCTCTGTGAAAGGCAGAGACACAGAACAGCAAAGCATATCAAGTGTGCCTGGGGCCGAGGCGTGTTGTGCGCGTGCTTGTGTGTGTGGTGATGGTGGTGGTGGTGGTGGTGGGGGCGGAGTAGCAGGACCAGCCAGGGGTCCCTTTATTTTAAAAGTTTTTCTTACATGATATTTAATTACCAAACTTTTCTAGTTTTGCGTTATTTCTCGTTGGCACAAAACATAATCCCAGTCCTGTAAACACAGGCACGCCTTTCCCTGAGCCCTGGATGTCCAGCCCTCCTTTCCCTCAAGGTGAGGGGTCCCCAGGACTATCTACGCAGGTTTCTCAACCCGGCACTCTTCCTGTATGTGCTGACGAGGGCTCGAACCCGCAACCTTGGTGTATCAGGACGACACTCTAACAACTAAGACCTCGGCCAGGGCTCCTGGCACTCCTGGCATGTGGGCTGGATGATCCTTTGTTGAGGGCGGGGTCGTGTCCAGGGCAGGATCATCAGGACTCTGCCCACTAGTCCAGTACCACCCACACCCCAGCTGTGACCATCAAAGTGGCCACAGACATGGCCCAGTGTCTCCTGGGGACGAAACTGCCAACTGGTAGGAAGCACCAGGGACTCAGGAAATGAGACCTTCGTGAAGCTGCAAGATAAAGAGGCCCATAACCCAGACGAGGGTTTAGAACAAGCCTGGTGGCGAGGGCAGAGGCCTCCTGGGACCTGCCTGGTCCCCCTCTTCTGGGAGAACAGCCCCTCGCTCCGGCCCTGACCACTGGCCTGGAGGGGATACGTGGGTCAACCAGGCTCCCTCAGTCAGGATGTGGAATGAGAACCTTAGACAGAGGCCGTCTGTGCCGGGCACTGAGGGGAGAGGTCCAGGACGTCTGGGCTCAGGTGGCCATTGCAAAGAAAGAGAAACAACATAAACATGCAGAAAAGCACCGACAAGGAATCTGGGGCCACAGAGCCGGGACTGGGGGGGCCAATCCTGTCACGAACTCGCCGAGGAGAAGCCACTCTGAACAGCATGACAGGAGCAGACCCAGAGCATGATCCTGGGGTCCCCAGCTCCTGTGTCAGTCCCTCAGGGCCCGACGGGACGCCCTGCCTCTGGGTTCTACACGATGCCCCATTTCCTCCCACCACGTCCCAGGAGCCAGAGGAGGCCATGGAGACCAGGCCAGCAGAGGCGAGTCTAGAACACGACGGAGGCCGGGAGGAGGAAAACGGGCTCCTGGGGCCTTCGCGACCAGCCCGGCCCACAGGCAGACGTGGGATAAGGACGTGGCGGGTCCCCCACCGAGGGGGAGGGCTCACCCAGCGATGCCAGGAGCCTGCAGTTCTCCAGCATCACCTCCTGGTACAGGGTCCTCTGGGCCACGTCCAGCTGCCCCCACTCCTCCTGGGAGAAGGTCACGGCCACGTCCTCGAAGGTCACAGACACCTGGGAAGTAAAGCAGAGGTCGCAGCGACGGCCTTGGGGCTGCTGATGGGATCAGCGAGCGTCTCTGGGTCGTGGTCCAGGGGCAGACGTCCAGGCCCAGAGCACCACGCGGCTGCTGGGCCGAGCTCTGTGCTCGCTCACGGGGGACGGCAATGCTGGGGGGTAACCCAGTGGGGAGAACCCTCCTGTGCAGGAGCCGATGTAAACCAACAGGAGACAATGGAATGTCAGATGGTGAGGGGGCAGCGAGGGCTCCAGGGCGAGAGGGACGAGGAAATGATAACAGCCGTGACGGTAGCCACCGGTGACCCTGAGCCTCCCTGATCCTGCAACTGCCTCCCCACGCTGGGGGCTCCACTTCCTGGTCAAAGGGACTATAGCCCCAGTTCCATCTCCTGTGGTTTGCCCCAAACTCGTTTTTATTTTTAATATTTTTATTTTCTTTTAGAGAAAGGAAGGAA